TATATATATTCATATATATATGCAATCGTCAAATCAACAAATTAGATAAAATTTCAAAGTGCAAAATGAATACTGACTGATGTTTATGGAGCGTAGCAAATTTTAATTCGGTTCTAATAGCACTTAAGGTGTCGAATACATTACATACATAAATTAAGCATGCGTCATTGAGTATCTATGAGTGGAAGTACATTCGATATGAAATTCATTGAAAAAATCTCACTCACTCACAGATTATGAATTCCATAACTTAGTAATACTAAATTTGTATGTGATTTAGTCTGAGCATTTTGGAAATTATTCAAATTGCAAATGAGTTATGGTACATGAATCTTTTGAGAATATAAATACGCAAGGTTTAATTATTTATTTGGATAGACATTGCTGGGAAGATTTGAATGAGGAGACGAAATGATATCAATGGAAAGCTAGTGTGTTTTTTTTTTCGTGATAAAATGATGAAGAAAACATGCATCAAGCATGAAAACACTATTTTTAATGAAAATGGTAATATGTGGCAATAGTAATAATAATTTATGAATATTAAATCAAGGAAGAGCCAAGTGGGTGGGCTGATAATTTATGCACGAAAGGAAATATTTGACGTTTTTTCCGAAATGAGGAATGAAAAATAAGGAGGATCTAGTGAGTGGTATCATTGAGGGGCAACCGATGATGATCTGTTTACAGCTGTTTGTATTTTTAATTAGATTGATAATAATACTTATGATAATCTCAATGGACGGACAATTCGATCATTCATAAATGAAATACAAACAATCAATTTGTAATGCCTAACAGTTTTATTTCAATTGACTTGGGTATAATACTTAAGAAACTATGTTATTATTATTGCTATTTTATTTGATTTGTTGTTCAAACCTTAATCGGTATAGTTATTTGTTTAGTCGTTTATTCATTCATTCACTGTATTATCAATTTTCGCCCAATTTGTAAAAGTAATTCAATTCATGTAATAGAATAAATTCATGTTCCTCCACTAACAGGATTTCTTTGAAACTAATAAATAAACAAAGGAGTATTGAATTGCTGAATCGTGGCAGTCCCTTTGTGGAATCCTTCATTGGCCAGCATCAGTGTGAGGTTTATCATGATTATGAGCATAGCTAATTAACAAATTGCTACCATTATTTATGCAACACGGTTTCTCACCGGGAGTGTTCGCATCTCCAAGTGGTGCGAGATGGGTTGCAAGATACGGTTTTATTTTTTATACGTTAAAATAGGCGAGGACGGAGTTCAACGCATACATGTGTGTAAAGTAAGTTAGGAAAATGTTAAGATGTACTCTAATGGTATACACTACAAATATTTACTGTAGTGGATGAGGGATACAAAGTGGATGTTGTAGGGGATGCGAGAACATCTTAAAGTTTTGTAGGAGTGCGTGGGGGGGGGGGGGGGGGNGAGAGAGAGAGGTTGAGAACCACTGTTATAGGATTATTGCGATCATTCGTCGTGTGTTACTAACCTTATCTAAGACACCAATTAGTCGACCAGATTCCACCTTTGATTTCGTCCATAAGGAACTGCTTTGATCGTCATTTTGCCGCACCTCAACGCATCTCAAGAAATCAGAATCCATGCTCATGATGACCTATAATTGAGAATTATTGGTATATCTCATCTGCATCAATCAAAATTATTATTATTATTAAAATATTATACTGTTATTATTGTTGTTATCGCTGACAGTTCATTAGGTAAAATATTATTTAAGCAGATCAAATGTTTGAGTATCACTCAAATCATATGTGCAATAAGAGTGTGAATCATAAAAAATTATGTTCATGTAATAAATTATAAGGTGGTCAAATCATAAATACATAAATTAATATTTGAGTAAAGCGAAGAAAAGCAGCACAATAAATGTAAAAAATCAAATGAATTTTAGAAATATTCATTCTCGCAGCTGAGCATCATCAATGAAACAAAAAAAAACGGGAACAGATCGGTATTATGAATATGCATTCACACATAGATGGCAATAATTTCAAAATATCTCATGGAGTGAAGAATTCAACTTGTATTACATTTCGTCAGAATGACGTTTATATTATAATTTCAAAAAGTTCCGATCAAAATTTTGAGAATTTAAAAAATAGCACTAGTAATCGGCATATATATGTTGTAATAATAATTAACAGTATCGTAACAGATCAGTGGAAATTTGATAAAATGATAGCAATGTTCCGAATAATCGAATGAGTACAAGCTTGAATTGAATAACGCTCATTGAGGATCGTCGTCGTTTAAAATTATCTTCATCAAAAACGTATATCCAATCAAATTCATCCATCCATAGACGCACTCATTCAGTCATCTATTCACCTATCTGTGCATCTATCTATCTATTCAACCAATGAGCACAGCAACATTTCATCAAATCATCGCAGCTACTAAGCAACTAACAACAGCTATTACGATACCCACACATCCGTCTATCATCCAATCCTAATCCTTCATACAACGTTACCTTTGGATCTATCTACTTATCTGCCTACCTGTCTATCCGTATTTCTAAACATGGATTCATCTATTATATATCTAGTAGGGTGACACAAAAAACGACCATCATTGATTTTTAAATACCAGACCGTTCTGCTTCATGTTGTTTGAAAACTACTCTATGCAAAATACCAGTCAAAATTAATGTACCTGGAACTGGCACAAAGTGCTCGAACTTCTAAGTGCAACAGCAAATTGAGCATTTCTTGTAATTGCTTCATTATTCGATGCTTTTTTGCGCCAAATTTCGGAGCAACGAGTAAAATTGATTCAATTTGTAGGACTCGTTCCAAAATTTCGCTGCAGCTAAACCATATCCGGAGCTGCGTGAGATGCTCAAATTTTTCATTACGGCAGTAAGCGCTTATTGCCACCGAGCGTTCTTCGCTGTTTCCGAAATTTTTTCTTTCGGCTTTTAGTGTGCAAGGCAGAAATGATTCAACTTTGTCCAAAAAAGAACAAAACGATCCCTGTGAAATTTCAACGATAATGGTATATTACTTTTCTTGAAATGGAAATTCTCTAGGAGATTCACAAATAAGGAAACAAATTTCATAGAGATTTGTTTTTTTCTGACAAATTTGAATAATTTTTGTCTTTTGCACCAATAATCAAGCAGAAAAATCTAGCAACAATGAACGACAAGGAAGAACGCTCGGTGGCAACAAGCGCTTATTGCCATACTGAAAAGTTCGAGAGGCTCGTGCAGCTCGGAATGTGGTTCAGTTGCGGTGTAATTCCACAAGGAATTCCACGATGAGCTGAATCATTCTTATCCGTCGGAGAAAAAACTGAAAGATTGAGCAACAAGGATTACTCAGTTCATTGCTGTACTGAAAGGTTCGAGCGTTGTGCACCAACTGCAGGTGCAGTATTTTTGGATGGAATTTTGCATGGAGTGGTTTGCAACCAACGAAAACCACAATTAAACAACGTTCAGAAATCGGAGAGAAAATTTTATTTTATCACTTTCGCATCATCTTAGATATTTAGAGCTATTACCCGCAATTTTCTCCTTTCGACTTACAAATTCATCATTATAATAATCACCATTCAATCATCCTCACTCGTTGATTCATTCATGCATTTGCTACCATATTTCATATGGTATCATCGTCATTTGGTTACCCATCAGTGTGTTTATGTATTTTATTTTAAGTTAATCATTGTATCTCAGAAACGAGATAGAACGGGATCGAAACAGAAGGAAAGAATGGTACAGACTAATAGGCTAACTCATCTTTCTGCTGCATTGATTGAATGTTGTATGTAAGCAACAACGACGATATGTATCGGTCAATATTCAATCATCCGATCACTCCTTCATTGTTTTTTCTTGGAAGCGTTTTTGTTGACAATCACATATCGATTTATCTTCCAAAACACTATTGTCATATTATATTCCCTTTCATACTTTCTCGAACGGTGACAATCTATTCTATAACCGTGTCGATATCGTGCGACTGGAAATCGTCAGTTTACCTTATCTTGCTTAAAATTTGTAACAAATAATAAGTAATCCACTAATATTAACCTTGTTGAGTTTGCTTAGGTGAATAATTCATTCATGCAGTTCATTTAACAGTCAACTGAAATACATATGCATCATCAATCAAGCTTTCTCAAATATTTATTAGGATGATTTTTTCCTTCTCAAATAATAAGTAATTCATCTCTTATATTGACTTCGTCTGCTTCCATTCGTTATTTGAAATTGCATTTCATAATGTAGGCTCACTTCAGTCTGGAACTTAACTGAGACTAAGATTTTTGCTTAATCTTCAACATCAGCTAGGGAAAAAATATTTCTGCCCTAACAATTTTCGACCTTCGTGCGCCACCATTCGAAATAACGAAGTACATACTGATGAATGTCAAAGGTTGAAGTGGAAGTTTGAGCGAAGCAAGAATTTTGATCATATGATAAGTCCAATGATGAATGATTGAGATTTCAGTGACAATGTATTAAAATCTCAAAGAAGAAGCTCACAGTAATGCCTCACATCTCAAAGAATGCTAAAAAATATACGGATTCGAAAGAGCAGAAGTTAAAGTGTAGCAGCAAGATAGAAACAATATCGAGAAATTAGATCTTAACAATTTTCAGTGGCCTAAGTTTTTAAATACTTATCTTAGCACCTTATTTATCACATCACTTGAAGGAAGTTTTTAAGATGATAAACTTTGCACCATGTCGCAAAGTTTTTATCACATGTGCACAAAAAAAACAAAAGAGTGAAGATGAACGGAACAACAGATTATCAGTAGTCAACGTTTGTAATCTTGATATTATAATAATGGTGGAAATGGTATTATCATTATCATCATTGGTATTATCTCTTGAGATGGAAATAACTGTCTCATCGATGAAATTATGAGTAGTGCTGATGTAATTTTGAATTGATGATATGATACGATATAATGTTACAAGGCTGACGAAAAGGATAATGGTAACACACGAATAATAATTATAATGATAAAGAACGGGTGAGAAGAAGAAGAATGAGGGTATGAACAAGAATACGGTGTGATGTAATTGAGTGGAATCAATTCGAGTCGGGTCGTGTCGTTTCATTAGTGACAGTAGTAGTGAGAGGCTTAATATCAGTAGTGGATTATGCAGATGGATGATGTATTTCAAGTGGATGGATGGGTGGATGGATGGAGATGATAGCTGAGAGTATGTAGCAAGTAAGTAAGCTTGTATGCATGCTCACTTCTTGTTTAGACCTCTTCGTCGTTCTTTATATCAATCTGCAAGGAGGAGTTTAGGCTTATGATGCAGAATGGATCGGTGAGTTGAGGTGAGGTAAGAATAGGATAAAATGAGATGGGATAAATGGATGGGTGGATGGATAAAAGCAGTTAAGTGATGAGGAGGAGTAAGCAAAGAATGATTGAGTTAAAAGGAGTTAAGTTAAGGTAAGGTAGATAAATAAGATAGATAAAACGATGGATAAGAAGATGACGATGAAAATGAAGGTGAAGATAATATGTGATGTTGGGTATGTTTCGAGAGTCGAGAGGAGAGGTTGAATTGAATTGTTGAATGAATTGTTGGATAAGAAGAGGATGAAGAGATAGGTTTTGATTGGATGATTGTCGATGCTTGAATGGATGCAGTATGAGATGGATGGGCACGGAATGGATGAATGCATAGATGTGCTATTATATATAATACATATTGAATTGTCCGAAGATTGAAATGATTTCAGCTGATGAATACATAACAATATGTTTGTGAATATGCATATGCTTATATTTATTTGATGAATATAGAATATACTAATACAATATATTCATGTTAATTATTATTGGGAGTGAGGGTAGATTGGAGGCTGAACTGAATTTTTTTGAAATGAGATGAAGTGGCTGAAGAAAGGAGGAGTCATTTGAATAGAAGCTGTATCAGAAGCAAAAGCAGCTGCACCAAATTAACCAACAAAATTGATTAGGGCAGTGATAAGGATAAGGAGCACGATGGTTAGAAAATAAATTTGGTGAAAAAATGAAAAACGATTGTCAGAATAAGGAAAGGCTGGCGTCAAGGCAAGATTCGAGATGATGCGAAACGAGCTTAACTGAAAACGACTAACTGTTCAGAAATGAATGAAAAGAATTCAATTTGACTGTAAGTTTGGATTGATCATTGATCTGATGGTCATCAATGCTGGGTGTGTGCTGATGTTGCCCTTCTGATAGCATTAGTTTCCACTGTTTATGTTTTTAGATATGTACGAGTACATACCTGCTGGTTGCATTATTTGCCGATATAAAATCGGTTTATATCAAGAATCGAGAGCTCAGAAAAAGAAGAATAAAAGGAGAGTAAAGTAAGTTGACAAAGGCCAATTGAAGACAGCAGTTGATGAAATTATTCATCAATGCTATCTTCAATTTATTTATATACACTGAAGAATTTATTATTCTGATATGAGAGGTATTGTTGGTATTACTATCGTTATTAATATCACTATAATTATTGATGTATTTATTCATTTCAGCATTGATATTGTTATTATTACTATTGGTAGTGGTATTGTTGAATCGCCTTGAAATAAGTTCAACTATATTGAT